TTAAGTGGTAATCCAAGATCGTGGGATAAGTACAATAGAATAATAAGCACAGAATCGAAAGCAAAGAGGTCTTGCTATACCAACGAATATCCAACATCAGTCCAATGAAACATAAGCTTTCTTAATAATCATGCAATTGTCTTTGAAGGGTGATTCAGGGGTTCATGTTGGAAAATGCCCTCACCACCCTCTCTTCTCACAGCAGCAGACTTCCTGGGAAACAGATAGTAGTAGCAAATCTACAAGAGCCTATGCATTACCAGTCATGCTTCTGCTTTCATTCTTACAGCTACAGTATATGAATCTAGCCCTTGTCAGATCCCAAATTTAAACTCAATGTTTCTGACTACTAAGTGTCACTTAACCATGGTAAGATGTACGTAATTACAATACACTATCATCTTATCTCAAGGCCCTTTTAAATTATATAAGACTCTAATATATAGTGCCTTGTTGTCTCTGTATTCTTTCTGTCAGCTTATCTGTTCATGTATTTGATAAACACTCATAAAGTCCTCATTGTATCTTTATTCCTTGCTCTAAGGCTTGTTCTTCATACTTGTTCTTCTTGCTTGACCATGAAACCCAATAGAAACTGCCTTTCTCTGGTTTAAATTATATGTGTGTGCATGGAAACTATACAACCAAACAGATTTTTTTGCCAGTCCTGGGTCTTGAACTTAGGGCCTGAGCATTGTTCCCTGAGCTTCTTTTGCTTAAGGCTAGCACTCTACCACTTCAGCTACAGTGCCACTTCCAGCTTTTTCTGTTTATGTAGTACTGAGGAATCAAACCCAGGGCTTCATGCATGCTAGGCAAGCACTCTATCACTAAGCCACATTCTCAGCCCCCCAAAGAGTTTTCAATGTACACAAAAATAAACTTTCTTCCAAAGATGGCGGTTCAAAGCCAGCCCAGACAGAAAAGTCCCTGAGACATTTATCTCCAATAAAACTACCCTGAAAAAGCCAAAAGTGGTGCTGTGGCTCAGGTGGTAGAATGCTAGCCTTGAGCACAAGGAGATTCAGGGTCATTAACTAGGCCCTGAATTCAAGCCCCAGGACCAGCAAAATAAAAAATAAAAACTTTCTCTTCTGAGACTGAGTCTATGTTAATGTTTGGAGAGTTGCTAGGAAGAAAGGCTCTAATAAAATACAGCAAAGGGGCAGGCTGCAACAAGTGGTTAATGCATACTTTTTGTTCATCTCTACCTTTTATCCTAGTTCTTAAGCATATGTAGGAGGTGTAGGGAGATGGGATTGTTGCCTGACCAGATCTACATAACTGTAGTTTAGCCCTGTATGATGTGAGGGACTATAAATAATTCCAGGTAAGTACCCAGGAAAATCATTGATTAAACATAGGAAGAATGGAATCGCAAACTAAACATTTGTTTTCTGGTTGAGCACACTAATAATATCCTGGGGCTTTAAAACTAGATTATCTCTCTCCAGTGAAAGTGGAGTGTCTTAAATACATATCTGGACTCCATATTCAGATTGCACAATAGAGGAAAATCTGAAGGGTTCCACTGAAATACTGGTTTCCCCTTTATTATTCATACCTAAATGATTTTTTTAAATCTTTAAAACAATGAGGTTCCCCTAATCCTTAATTACCCCATTTGATTTTTCTTTCCCTTTTCCCTTTCTTTTCTGTTTTTCTCCTATTAGGGTATAGGAGAGTGGGTTGGAAGAAATAAAATGCCATGTTTAATTTATGGTGTAGGCAAGAAAGAAAATTAATTGAAATTACAAATACAGAAAAATAATTAATCTGAGTCCTTAAAATGGAGTGTCTCCATGGAGACCAGAGCAGACACTATCTCCATGGAGATCTGAATGATTGGGTTTGTTGTTGTTGTTGTTTAAATTGTTATCACTTGTTATGAGAGGTCAGTTTTGCCATAAAGTAAGAGTAAGTGATCGAGTGAGTGAATTGAATAAGTGAGTGAGGCCTTCATGAGAAAAATGTATTCAGGGTAAGTGGAAATGATGCTGGTTCTTATTCTGCTTTTTCCATTGAGTGGGAAGACATCTCAAGAGATAATTTTATCTCAAAGCCAAATTTCTAAAAACATCTGATGGTGGGGTCCACGAAGCTACAGGAAGCAGCAGGGAATGAGGATTTCTAGAAAAGATGCTTTGTGACTCAGAAGCACCAAGGTGTAATGAGGGCAAAAATGGTTCCAGAGTTATTACTCTAGTCACAGTGAAGAGGCGGCTCATTGGCAAAGTCTTGTCCCAGATATGGACCAGAGATCTCCCTTAGCAACAGTTCTTAGAGTATCACTTGATTCTGGCTATTATACACTACTGTTGGTAATTCACACAGTAAAGCTAAAACAACCTTCTCTTGCATGCCAAATGAGAAACTGGAAAAATCCAAATGTTTATACTGTATAATCAGAAATAACACAGAATTTCTCTCAGTTACAGATTGTACCTATAGGTATGGTCATTGAACTGACCGAATACTCATAGAAAGGCCATCCAAATATGTATTCATTGATCAAATTAACTATCAATAACAAAAGGAATTAGCTAGGCATCAGTAGTTCATACCTATAATCCTAGCTACTCTAGGGAAAAAAGTCTTTCCAATTAACCAGCAAAATTCTGGATTATAGTATTGTTCAAGTAGTAGAAGGGCAGCTATGAGCAAGAAAGCCTCCGAGTTCCACCCAAGTATTGGCATACCACACACACACACACACACACACACACACACACACACACTCATCATCCTTCATATACCCATCTCTATTTTGCACAAATCAATTGACACCAAGTTAATCAGCATTAGTCTCCTTACTGGACTATCATTTCTTGAGACCAATGATCATATTTTAACACACATAAACGAACTTTCCTGTGTTCACTGTACTTCAGGCTAGATTGTACTTCACACTGTTCATTGATCATATGGTAATTCTAACACTACCCTTTTTACAATGGCAGATACACTACCCTAGAAGAGTCAGGTCACTTGACTCTTACCTAGCAGTGTTATTCAACTTAGAGCCCAATATTTTACCATTGTGTGAAACTAAATAGTGTTCTTTAATGTAGATTATATGTTCCAGGCATGATAATAGGAGCTTTATAAAGTTAACTCATTGATAATTTTTGTGTTCCTGTCTTTGTGTTCCAACACATTAGCAAAGTGCTTGCACAGCACAATAAATGTTCACTGGGTTGAATTTGTCTTCTTGCTTCCAAATATCCCTTCTACAACCAATAGTAGAAGAGCCCTCTGTATTTTCAACAGGTGCTGGGCCGAGACACAGTATTCCACTACGCTTTTCCTCCTCATCAGATCCCTTACTTTATTCTACATTTATGTTCTTCTGGTAGATTTTCTTGTGTAGGTCTATGTTCTTCACAGGGCAACTTTGGAAGCAATGATATTGCAGAAAAGAGCAGAAACACTACCCCTTGCAAAAGTTTTCCCTTTAGCACTAACTTCCAATATTGATGTCTATCGTGACCCAAATCCTTATGGATAAATAGAAATCAGAGGAGCTGTGTTATTTTTCTTGAAATTCATATGGGAATTCCCATATAAGGGTGAAATGGGTGATGTAAGTATCTATTCCACAGTGTTGCTTTTGGTTCCAAATGTACATAATTTTTTATGCTATGCAGACTGAGAGTCAGTGTTTGAGATGAGAAATACAGGTAGGGAAGTCAGCTTGTAAGAAAGCAGGAAATGGGCAGGCCTTAGGATGTTTGCAAGAGAGAAGCCATAGGCATCATACACAGTACTCTAGTATCAAAGAATCTCTAGGTGAATCTTAAACACAATTCTTTTCTTTTCTTCCAGATTGAATTCATGGCTTAGGCCCTCTCCCCTAGCTTTTTGTTGCTCAGGGCCACCACTCTATCACTGGAACCATTACTCCACATCTAGCTTTCTGGTGGTTAATTGGAGATAAGAACCTCACAGATATTCCTGTCCAGGCAGGCTTCAAACTGTGATCCTCAGATCTCAGCCTCCTAAGTAGCTACCAGCACCCAGCCTCTAAGTACAACTCTTAAACATGGAAAGTAGACAAGTGCTTCCTGGAGTCAGGCCAGAGGCATAGAAGTGAAGTTCTTCGCAGGAGGCAGGGAGATAAATTCCATCTTCAGAAGGGAGCAGTACTCTTACATCGTCCTTGCGTACAGCCCTGGTGTAGTCTTTGTTTCTATAGCATCAAGCCTTTCAACCTTCCGGGTGTGTTTTATGTGAATCCCCTGCTTTTAAATACAATCAACTAATTAAAAAAGAAGTGTAAGCAGACGTTATGTCAAAAATATGTCTGTAGGAGTTCTGGCTAGAACATCCAATCATTGCTTTGGTGGTTTTTAGAGATGGCTACCAAGTCACTCCTCCTATTTCTCTCCTCCACCTCCTCCCCCCCATACACACCCACAGTGTAAGAAATTGCAGCCCTGGAGGCTGGTCCTCTCAACTGACTCCTCTCAACCAGTCCATGGCCTGGGCCATCTAACAGAATCTACTGTTTAAAGAGGAACTACTTGTTTCAGTAAGGTGACTTGCAAGCCAATGTGTGGCGATGTAGGGTCTCTGGGGTAGCAGGTCCACGTGTATGCTGGGAAGCAGCCCCTCCTGGCTGCCCAGCTGTTACTCTGAACCTGTGCATGGCTCCGTGGGTAGTTGCTTTCTTTGTTCCCTCTTCTCCCATTTCACTTTTTTCCCCCTTTAAAAAAAAGGATCCTTAAGCAGTTGTACAGAGGGTGCTCAACATGTCTGAGAGTTCATCTTATTTAATGTCACCTGTTTCATTGTTCATTCTCTACTGCTGTCATCTTCTTTTTTTCTTTCTCACCTCTTTATACTTTTTCTTCTCCACCTTTTTCGCATTCTCTTCTCTGCCTGCTCCCCTCTCCACTCCACTCTCTTTCTTCTCTTTATCCTTCTCTTGTTTGTCTCATCTCATTTCTATTTCTCCCCCTCCCCTCCCCCCCAAGAAGAACTCAGAACAGGCAGCTCACCAGGAATGCACCAACACAGGCTTGGAGTACTTCTTGTTTTGGGAGCGGAGGGTCAGAGAGCCCTTTCGCTCCAGCAAGTCCGTGGGTCCCATCTCATACCAGCGTTGTTTCCTCCATGGGGAGTTATCTGTACTCTCCATATCCACACTGGAGGTGAGGACAGACCTCAAAGGATTTCCTTCTGCACCTGTTCTGCTCCAACCAACTAGGACCAAGATTATGCGTCTCTCGTCTCCTAAGCAACCAGGGAAAGGGGCGGGGAGGTGTTTGTCAACGTAGTGGGCGGAGTCAGTGAGGGGCAGTTCCTCCCCATCTTACAGTTCTGTTCCCCTGGTCTTCATAGCTATGAATGGGAAACTGCAACGTCCAGATGTTGAGAGGGATATTGCAGGCTGGGAAATGTTTCGCCGATCTGCCAGCCTTATTTTAGGAGTGTCTGGGAAGAGATAGGGGAGACAGAGGGTCAGTTAAAGGCTAACAGAACCTGAGCCCCAAGCTGCTGTATTGAGGCTGTCGTTGAAGAAGTTATTTTTTTACTACTGTCTGTCATTAGTTGGAACCATTCCTCTGCACATTTCTTTCACTAACAGGGAGTAAGAGAGCCCCTTTCAAATACTGCATTATGTCGTTTCTGTACAATTGTTTTGTTTTGTTTTGTTTAAGTTGTCAGGGAGGAATAGGATTATTCAAGAAATCAGTTTAAAAAAGTTTGAAGATCAGAAAGTCTGATTCCAACAACAGCTTTTCCTTCAGTCTTTCTGAGTAGCACCTATTTTTCCTCTGAAAGCAGAGGAGGGGGATTCAAGTTTGGAGAGAGGTGGACAATGAATATCAGGGCTTCTACGTCTATGAAAGACTCCTCTAGATCCCAGCAACCTGGGACCTGCCAAGATCTCACCCGTGCATCCCTCTCACCTTTTACAATAATACAAATTTACCATAATATTGTGTTACATGTTCTATGTGAGAGGGAGATTTCAAAAGTTCATGCTCTTGACAAATGGATCAAGAAAATGTGGTATATATACAAAATGGAATCTACGCTTCCATCAAAAAGAATGATTTTGTATCATTTGTAAGGAAAAGAAAAGACGTGGATACAGGTGGACTCATTGCAACAATGAGACGTACAAGTCATTATGTTGAAAACGAACTTTACAACTTTGGTGGGGGGAGGGGGAGCGGGGAGGATTGGGGGGGCAGGGGGAGGATGGGAAGGGATGGGAAGAGTAAACAAAGGAGGAGGCTGCAATGCTTGATAAGAAATGTACTCATTATCTTGCCCATGTAATTGTAACCCCTATGTACAGTAGTTTCACAATAGAAAATAAAAAATACCACTTAGACATGATAAATTTTATAGGACTGTAGATATGATAAAAAGGACCCTCAACATTCACACAGTGAGACCGAAGGAGGAGATCCTTCAGAGAGGATCACAAAGGCTCAATGGCTATGTGCATACGATCAGATAAAATTATATTTATCAAAATGAACTCCAAGAAATGGAAGCAAGAGGGGTTTTTGTTATTCTGTTGACCAATGTTTTATCTCCTCCGTCACTGTCTTTGTTTTCTGTACCTTCTATCTGTTTTGGGGAGGGTAATGGGGGAAAGAAATGATGGGACAAAGGGTGAACAAACGTAGCAGTGATACACACCAGATGTTGAAAATTAACTGTACAACTGACTCCGTCCACTTCGTTGACAAACCCCCTTCTCTGGTTGCTTAAGAGATGAGGGATGCATAATCTTGGTTCTAGTTGCTTGGGACAGGACAGGTGCAGAGGGAAATCCTTTGAGATCTGTCCTTAATCCAGTATGGGCATGTATAGATAGCACCCCATGAATCAGGAGGAAAAAATTCTGAGAAAGCCGAGGGAAGGGGTGATACTGTTCAAAAAGAAATATGCTCAGGTATCACCTGACTTATGTAATTGTAATCCCTCTGTACATCACCTTTAAAATGACAGAAGTTTTTAAAAATTAAAAAGTTTATGGTGTTGTCTTTCAGACACTGTTGCACATCTGTGTAATAAGGACAAGTGTGTATTTCCTTTTTTTTTACTTTGCAGGAAAAGAGTAACACTTTGAAATTTTTCTCCGCAGTCTGAACACCTTGAGAGTATTACTGGAATCAGTGGTTTCCATCATTCTTACTTAGTGCTTTGCACATGGAATATTTTGAGCATTGAATGAATCGATAAATGAATGGATCGATTGATTGATTGAATAAATGAATGAATATTGTTTGACTGCCTTATATCTACCTAGGCTTCCAGAAATGCCATGGGTAAGAATATTACATGTTCAATGAAGCCTCCTCAAACTTAAGAACCAATTGAAATAATTCACTGTACACATCAACTCTCTCGTTTATAAAAGATGTATTACTTCTACAGATACGGAGCCATTCATCTGGAGCATATTCTCAAATGTGATTGCATACAACTACTAAGTGCTTTTCTGTGGCCTGTGGTACATAATATGGGCACCTGTGGTATGGTGAGGTCCCTACTTTACTGACAGCTACAGTGCAAACATGATATTTAAGAGCAAAGAAAGTGTCCACTATTCCCAGCTAAGCATTTGCAGAGTGCTGACCATTATTTTAGTTCTTTCCTTTTTGAGAGAATGAAAAGAAAAATAGAAGTTAATTTCAAGAGAGTAAATAAAATCCATGTGAAGTTGGTTTTTTTCAAATGTAAACCAAAGCACCACATCATTGCTATAATCGTTTTATGTGTTTATTATTCTCCTTATGTTTAAGTAATGGTGACATAATGAATCTGTGCAGCCCATATGACAGGACTGGAGATAATTGGACTCAAAAATAGAAGCTGCCCAAAGGTGCTGCAGAGATGTGATATATAGGCCTTCCAGCCTAGAAAACAAGCAAAACAAACATACCTTTTATTTTAGTGTTTCTTAAGCTAAGCTGAGTCTATGAATATGCTTCCTATTATATCATGCTTTCTATCATAGTAATTATGTATTTAATTGTTTTGTCTACTACATAGTTTTCAGCATCCTTGTACTGTGATTCAGATTAAATCCCATATCCTCAAGCACAGGTGCATCACACTTCTTTTGTATGTATCAACACATTCCAAAGGGTTTTTGGTTTCTTGATATTAAAAAAAAATAGGAAAGCAGAAGCTGAGATCTGGTTTGAAGGTTTGAAGCCAGCTTGAGCAGAAATCTGAAAGAGTGTTATCTCCAATCAACCAGCCAAAAGCCAGAAATGAAGATTTAGATCAAGTGGTAGAGCACAAGCCTTGAGCAAAAAAGCCAAATGAGAGCACACAACTCTGAGTTAAAGCCATAGTGCTGAGAACCAGTTCAAATGTGTGTATAAAATAAATCAGTCAATAAAGTAGGAAAAGATTGTGCTAACGTCAGTTCTCACAGAGGGTCTTTGTGAGAATTACATAAGTCAAAAAGTATAATTAAATTTCAATGACTGTCAAGCTTACTATATTTTCTATCATTTGGAAAACTACCCTAAAATATGATGATCATTTGAGAGTAGTCCCTTAAGTATTTCTAGTTTTTTAAGTTATATCTGTTTAATCATTTTTTAAATTTTATTTTTGAATTAGCATGCATTTTAGTATGAAGGTGATTTCATTGTATTGGATGTTTTGATTTTTGTTAATTGTATTACTTTTACTGAATGTTTTCTTATCGTTTTAGTATTTTTTCCTTCTTGGCTTCCCGGCCCCAGAATATCTGTAAGCCAAATACACTCCTGTAAAAAACCAAAGGAAAAATAATGCTGGTTCCATGAATTGTTTCTTCTCATGTGAATCCATAAAATGCCACAATTGACAGAAAGGAGTTTGATGAGAAGACTTTTTACCATATTTTAATATGAAATTCAATATATGAATCCAAAAAGTGTTGGCAAGCTATTAGATACATTATCAGTGATGTTTTTATTCACATAGAACTGTCAATCCTATAAAAACTTGCTGCTTTATAAATATAACATCACGAAACCTCAACACACTTCAGTTGTTCGTTTTCTTCAGCCTTCATCGTATCAGTGAAGTGTGAGGCTTTAAGCGATGTCTACAGAGACATTACTCCCTTTTGAGGTAATAACATTGGAATGAGAAAATCAGAGCTCAGTTGAATGAAGCAAGACTTTTCTGCAGAGTAAACTTAAGGACACCAATGCAGGAAATAGAATGTATCATATGAACCAACTCTAATTTATTTGCTTTTTTATTTTGCAATGCTGGCAATCAAATACAGGACCCCGTGTACACTGAACAAGCAGCCTACCACCAAGCTACAATCCCAGCCTGATTTTCTTTATTAGCTTTATCAAATTCTAGAAAATTCTGCAGCAAGAACTGCAGAATTTGCTTTATTCTAAACAAACCTAAAGCAAATAAAATCCAACTGGTTGTAAATAGCTGTGAAAAACTTTGACCATTTCTTTCCCTCCAATCTTAATGACCACTTGCAAGGCCCAGGAAAAGCCCTGCCCAGCACCTTCCAAAGTCAACAGCAGCATATTCTTTCCATCATTAACATAATTTCTCAATCCCAGATGTCTTCCAATTAAGCTTTAAAAAAAATGAAATTATTTAAAATTAATTTGTATTTTCTTTGTCCATCCAGTTAAAATATGTCAAAGTTGTCTTTATATTATATGGTACTAAGAAGTTAAAAACTAAGCATTTACATTCTAACCAAGAGAGTCTATTTGTTCTAATTTTCCCTTCTCACCTACTTTTCTGTCTTCCTGCCCTTCTCTCTCATTCTTCTGTTTTCATTTTCCTTATTTTTCCTCCTTTTTCCCATTCCATGTACGATTTCCTTATTTCTCCCTCTCCTCTTTATGTCTTTCCTTCTCGTTTCTTCCCTTCTTCCTTTTCTAGAATCCATATGGATTTAGAAGCCAATTTTTTGCTGGGCTCTGGAGAGAATCGGGTACAAGTTAATTATATGAAAAATACAAAAGAAAAAAATTCAAACTGAGAAACAAGGGCCCAAATTTATACAAATAAAGTCATACATAACATTACCCAGGATCTCTCAAAGGACTCTCCTCCAGCAAACGTGTCTATCTTCTGTTTCTCCTTTAACTATTCGCAACTACCAACAGTCTTTTTTCAGAATGATTTTAA